ATAAAAGTTGTATTTAAACAGAAAAGCCCTATACCCCAAAACTTTAGTAGTCAATATCTAAATAAATGGCTATTAAATTTAAGAATTCCATCTTATAATTTAGATTGGGTGGACTCGTTTCCCATCTGAAGAAAACCAATGACAGTAAGTTACACCTTCTATAAAATTCGTTTCCACAAGTATTCAGCAAGTGAGATTTAATGATAGCTGACAGTTTTATAATTAACATAAAATCTACTTTTTTCTTCTTTTTTCTTTTATTTCTTTTTTCTTTTCTATTTTGTTTCGCTTGACCCCTCCCTTTTTCTTCTTTTGTAGCTGCCATCAAAGAAGAACTCAACAAACAGAAGTCTGCTGCATTTGGCGGTAATACTCTGGCAGAGGAGGACTGGCTACAAGACTCTTCATTGGTCAGAATGCTTGATGATGTTATTTTGCTGTATCATATTGCTGTACACAAGCAGCTCTCAAAGGTATTAAAGGACTTATTTCTGTTGTTGAATTTATCCGCGCTCTACTCCTAAGAGTAATGAAAGTCACATTTCAAGAGAATGACACTTGACAGTTGCAACTGATAAACCTTTGGCCGTCTGTGTTTAGCATCTCTACATGAGATGACTGCAATTTTCTGTGTTTATCTGAGTCATGGTGAAGTTCTATCCACTTGTAAATATGTTTAGAGCAAAGGCAGCACCTTCTACATTGATTGATATTTTAAGAATTTTGTAATTTTGGCCCAGAATTTTGGCCCAGCCAGGGCTTGAACCTGTGACCTCCCAAAACAAAAGCAGGTGTCCAATCGAGTCAACCAGAAGATGGTGTCTCCTGACAATGTAGTAAAACTTTGCTTAATATGATGTAGGTTTGTGCAGTGAGAGACAGCATGCAGCAAAATATCAAGGCTCTGGAAGACATAGAAGCTAGGATAAAAAGATGCCCTCCTGAGGTATGGACAATTTCTATTTAGGAAATTCAAATGATGCTCCTCAACATACATTATTTTACACCCATTTTCTTACTTTGGAAACCCAGACCAATATTCAAGTTTGTCAGGGGTTTTGGCTTCTATCAATCAAATTCTTATTGATATATGTTCTAAGTTAAGTAATTTTTTTCAACTTAATACCAAAATTACATTTATTATATGTGCTGTTCATGTAATTATGAAAGTTGGGTGGCATGGTTGTCATGGCAGTGAGTTCTTGTTGGTTCTCTCCTGTGCTTTGAGGGCTTTTCTTCCAGTTCTCTGGTTTTTATCCTTCAGCAAAAATCAACTTCTAAGTTCAAACCAAAATTCAGTAGAAGAGCTACTCTGTGAAGCCACTGTTAAATTCCATTACTATTTATTTATTTATTATTTATTTATTATTTATTTATTATTTATTTATTATTTATTTATTATTTATTTATTATTTATTTAAGATGGGTGTACTTAATAGTTTTATATATTTAATTAATGCTGTAGAGAGAAGAAGTGTTGGCCGAGTTGAACAGATCAAGGTCTGTGTTTCTAGAAGAGACAACAAACTGTGCTCGGCATATGGCATGGGTGTCTACCCTGATCTTCACCAAGGTGCTTGCAGTTATTATTAGTATTACAGGGCATAAAATAACGGCCAGACATCAGACAATGTCTGCCCAGAATTGGAATTTGTCCAGTCAAATATTTGCCTTGCCAGTCATTTTGACCAGTTATGTTGAGCCAGAAATAAGGTATGACTGAGCTAAAACTAATTTGGCCAGTTATCATGACCAGGGACTTGTCAGCCATTATTTTAAGCCCTGTATTATTTACAGTTGTACCAAAATCAAGAGGCTTAGCCTTGTTGTGACTACAATTGTTGTTCTTCATGTGCCGTGATGGCACTAAATATAAAATATTGCACTGGGATCAGTTTGTTGGTAAGAGAAAGGTGTTAGCGATGATAATTTTGGTGTTGGCATATTACTGAAAGGATAGTGGTGATGACGGTCATTGTCAGTGATGGTGGTAACAGTGATGCCAATATGCATTCAAACTAATTCTCTGATATTTTATGTTTCTTCAGAGTAAGCAAGAGGACATCCATTGGATGCTGCGCTGCATTCTCAAGTCCATATCTAGAGGAGCCAAAAGAGGCTCTCTCTTTGAATTTGCCCCAGAGTTTTACGTGGAAGTTGCTATCAATGCTTTCCATGGTCTTCGAAACTACTTCCATCCAACTACAAATTTTTTTGATTTGCCTGGTAAGACACATCACTGAGCCAAAAAGAGATAATATAAAAGTACAGAAGGGACCACTATATTTGTAGTTATACACTGTAGTAATAAATTTAATATACAGGCATTGCAAAAAGGCTGGTAAAAGTTCTGTTGCATGCTGCATCTGCATCTGGCATGCTGATTATGGCATGTTGCATGCTCATGTTGCATGCTCATCTTGCATCTTGCATGCTGGTTATGGCATGTTGCACGCTATATCTTGCATCTAGTATACTGGTTATGGCATGTTGCATGCTGCATCTTGCATCTTGCATGCTCGTTATGGCATGTTGCATGCTGCATGTTACCAACCTTTTGAAAAAGTTGTATACTTGGTGTTATACTGATTGCATTCACATCACCTATAGTGTAGTTCAGGCTTAGTATGCAATATGCAATAAAACCCTTACCAACCTTTCTTTTGAAATAGCTGTATACTTGGTGTTATACTGATTGCATTCACATCACCCATAGTGTAGTTCAGGCTTAGTATGCAATATGCAATAAAACCCTTACCAACCTTTCTTTTGAAATAGCTGTATACTTGGTGTTCGTTTCTTCTCCAGATGCAACAGGTACACTAGACAAAATGGCAGCCTTCTTGCTCACTCATTTTAATGACAAAAGGATTATCAACCCCGGTAAGTAATGAAAAATAACTGTGTTTTACTTTTTATCTGTTGTGTTGAGCTATGATGAGAATTATTCTCAATCTTTCTTGCTTTTCCCCCACAGATTTACGGGATATTGTTATTCAGGCATTAGCTGCTTTTGTCTGTTATCCTGACAGTCTTAAAGCTGTTGAGAGGATGCCTGGAGATCTGTAAGTTCACATTCCTGTTTAACTAATATATCCATTAAAAAATGATGAGAAATTGGTTTGGATGAATTACTGGCATGAAAAGACAAATGGGAAGCCATTTCAATGATATAGCATATGGTATCATGTACAGTACATGCTGTAAGTCATTACCTTGCATTTCCTACAATGAAAACTGCTCTACCAACACTAACGCTCCACAGACCAAATAAATACAATAGATAGATAAAATAAATCTCTTTATTTAAGTGCCTAGTCCTTCTAGCACTTTTGCACTAAATGAGGACACTTTTTTCTCACACACACTACTGCTACATTTATTGTTCTATGTACCCAAAGCTCAACTCACATATTGATTTTTACGGAGGAAGGAAACCAGAAACCCATAGACAACCCTCGTAGTCTAGGAGAGAACAAATTACAAAACAAACTCAATTCAAATATGGTGTTCGCAGAGTTTGAACCAGTGACCTGAACCTTTGGAACCACAGTGGTGAAAAATGAGGTGTTAGCAGCATACACCACGCATGCTACCCAATACACCAAAACTGAATTTATATAGTCACATTTTTTACTAGAGTTATTGCCATAGTAAAGATAATATTTTGTTCACTTGTGTAGTTCAAATAAAACATGTAGCTAGAGTTCACTATTTTTTCCATCTTCTTTATGCAGACTTGAGAGCTCAGTGCGCTTTTTGTTGGGTGCATATGACAAGCGTTCATGGGTACAGACAACATGGATACTAGTTAGAATATGGAAGGTAAAAGCTTCTGGATCTTTTCCTGTTCTTAAAATGTTTATAAATAGCAGTCAATCAAATAATTATAATAATAAAAAGATATAAGTTCCTTACAAGTTTCAATACAAGTTTCTTACATTGTCTCAGTGGTAATAGTGAGATCACTTGTGCTTTGCTCATAATAAGTTCATTGAATACAAAGCAAGTATAAAATACTGCTCATAGTCTACTGCTTATGTGGTTGTAAAGATGGTCATAGCTTTGATTCCCTATGGTAAAATATGACTGAGGTTTTGTCTGGAATAAACTGTGTCCCCCCCAAGTTTCCCATAATGCATCTCTTCTTATCAATCAGATTGTGTGATTGTCTTGTGTCATTATTTCTCTCCAGGGATGTGGGTTTGCATTCAGGTACACCAGCTCCCAAGATGTTTTCACATCTTCTGCTTTTCCAGAACAAGGTAAAAAAGTCTTTACTTTATGCTGTAATGACCTCAATTGTTTTTGTCAGGATTTGATTTGCATGCTCTCAAGACCTAAACTTTTTATATCAAGTTACTGGTAATTATTGTGCAAATATCTCCTTAACATTATTTTCTTTACTAAATAGGTCACTTAAGAGCAAGCCTGCAACGTAAGTGCCACAACTCCAGCTTTAATCTGTCATGCAATTTTATTGAACCTTGAAGGTTACACCCTCTGGGCCAATCTAAGTCGTTCCCAGATAACTCATAAATCAATTTGCATGTATGGTTTTGCGGAAAGAGAAAAATTAAAGAAACCTTACAAACTTTATTCACATGCATTATTGAGTCCAGGAATTGAACCTGAGACCCCAGAGGTGAGAGGCACCCTTGAGATTCCCAATCCACTGTTTACTAGATTTTTTTAATTGGAGAAGTTCTAATAGAATCAATAATTACAACTGATGATTTTCTGATTATTTTTGTAATCCCTCTAGCTCCTTGTCCATCTGACGTTTTACAGAAACTGATATCAAAACTGTGTTTGAGTGATGTGAAGTTGGCAGATGAGTTTCTCAATGGAGTGTTAAACCAACTAAACTGGGCATTCTCGGAATTCATAGAAATGCTACAAGAGGTGGGTATATCATGATGTTACTTACAAGAGTGTTGTTAGAGATGGCTATGGTGGTAGTGGATATGATACAAGGAGCTGGTGCTGTTGCTGATGGTGTTGATAATAATGATGGTGATACTGAGGGTGTCTGTAACTGATGGCTATGGTGGTAGTGGATATGTTACAAGGAGCTGGTGCTGTTGCTGATGGTGTTGATG